GAACCAGACTATTGAATAGTATACTTGGGCAGATGGGCCTAGTTTTTTCTGTTCTATGACAATTGTGTCCATGAAACTGACTCCACCCTATTCCCTGCTCTCTGGCATCAGTGCTGCTATACACGCAGTCTGGGCCTTGTTTTGTGTTAGTGAATGTGAACACCCAATCGGGTGACCGCCCCTCGTCTTAGGTAGTGATAGATTATCTCGCCAATGCCTCCATTCTGTTTACTATAGTTGGTCCGAAAGTTGGTTGACATAGTACGTGTTTTGCAGACATTCCTTGGAGTCAAGCTCATCCATATGCTGCTGCACAATACGACACGGCAGAAGGTTGCCGATTCAGCAAAACCATATGTGGGGCCAATTCTCTGTGTGTGCTTTACAAATCATGCACTCGATCAGTTTCTGGAAGGAATTCTCAGTCAAGGTGTTAAGAAGGTGGTTCGAGTTGGCCAACGCTGCCGAAATGAGAGCTTGGTACCATATAACCTGCAGGAGATACTGAAGAGGGATGTGGATGCAAGGAAAAGTACATTAGAGCAGCGCCGAGAGGAATACCACACAATGAAGGCTCTGGAGGCACTGGAAGGCGAGATCAGTCATAACAGGTTCGCAAAGGTGGGGCAGAACTGGGAATCGGTGAAGGAATATCTCACACTTTTCTATCCCGATCAATATGAGTCGTTGATGAACAATGGAGGGAGTAAACATGAGGAGGATAGCTCCGACTGGCAGGTAAATCGTCCTCGGCTCTCAGAAGATGCTATCTGGAGCAATTGGCTGAAAGGGTTTCCCTCTCGTGATGGCTTCAAGGCAAACCAGTGGTTGAAACTTGCAAGCAAGCAAGGAGTGGAGGAGAAGGTTGGGTACAAAACCGGGAAGGAAGGGGATGATGGGTTCGGCGTGAACCAGCTTACGAATATGTTTACCGCGTTGGATGTAGCGACTGGATGGGATACTCTGGAGGAGCTGGAGGTAGGTGACATAGCAGATATCGACGATGGAGTTTTGAGTATGCCAGGTGGCGTGGATGGTGGAACCAGAAGAGGACTGTTTCAATCTCATGCTGGTGCAGGTACAAGCAATCAATGGCCAAAGGGACCAGGAAAGCGGCAATCAGCAGGCAGGTTGGAGACGGAGCACATCTCAACCCTTCTGAGCAATAGTGAAGCGAGTCACCCAGAGAGGACTATCGAGGAGCTGCTGAATGTGAGAGATGTCTGGAGTTTAACTCCTTGCGAGAGGACAAAACTTTTCAATCACTGGATTGAGACAATTCGCAAAGCTGATCTCGAAAAGCTTGAGGAGGACATGAGAACTTACGTAAAGTAAGCAGTTCAACATCCACAACCTCTTCCCACGCATCTCAACTGAAATCGCTTCTGTAGTACTGTGGAGGAACTGGGGAATGGGATGGTATGGTYTTAGTAGCATTAAAAGTTAAGAAAGGAATGCACACATGTAGAGTTGGGGCCAGGCCCCACTGGTATTACGTTCATGCTGGCAAATAACAAACATGGCCGACATTACAGCCAGGTTTGTGCTTCTCAACCACGAATGTAGCACCAGTGAGGCCTGCCCCTTGCTGCACAGTTGTAGAACTCCATTCTTCACAGGAAGGAGAAATGAGATAGCGCTCTGAGGTGTGGTAGGTGAGATGAATCAGACTAATAGAATGGAATTGATGCCCAAAAACTTGTTGTGTTGAACTGTGTCTGCGTAGCAATCCAAACGGCATTGCGTACACATGCGGCCGTACGAATCTGTATATGGAAGGGGGGGGTCGGATACGAAGTATTTTTCTGTGTCTTTTTTTTTTTTTGGGTGTCGGGTTGTTGGTTAATGACCATGCAACCTGTATACCTGGAATCAGCTGAAAAAACGAAGTTCCAAGGCTGATTTCATCTATACATGGTGTGCGGCTTATAACACGCAGCCCACCATTTTTTAACGCCTATATCCAATCTATTTATTGATTGGATATAGTCCCTGGATAATTATAGAAAAGAAAGCACAAACATGTGTGCGCGCCTGTTTGTTCAGTTTGTGTCATGTGTGTGAGTGTGTTCCTTCCAATCACACACACACACACACACACACACACACACACACACACACACAAACACACACAGGCATATTGTCGTTGCAGTTATGTTTTTTTTTTCTTTTAATTACCCTTCTGTTTCTTTTTTTTTCTCGTATTTTAATAAGAATTTGGGTTGGTGCTCAGACAAATATTGCTCGTCTGCCAATGATACATAACTTCTTCTTCTTTTCCARATTTTCTTGATTTTTTTTCCCCTCATGCGTTATGTACGGAACGTACGTGGGCATGCATGGGGTTACGTCCGTAAAATGTGTGTACGTTATGTACAGAAAGCCCCCGTGCGAACTTGGTCTGTGATTGTGACCCCTTCAGATTGATAATGCCTAATTTATGGGTGTGGGGGATGGATGCAGGATGAGGGATCGGCTCAATGCCATACGAGAGATGAAGGATCTTAGCGTGCTGCGGAATGCGGACGTAGTTGGGATGACTACCTCGGGCGTGGCAAAGAGTCTTCGACTGGTGACGGCTCTTGGTCCTCGGATTGTTGTGGTGGAAGAAGCTGCAGAAGTCTTAGAGCCTCACATTTTGTCATGTCTCTCTGCGGCTACCCAACACCTTATTCTAATTGGTAGGGTGGGATTGGTCATTCATACTTGTTATCAAACSGAACAAACTTTATGAGAACCATTGAGACACTGAATCCTAAAGYGTAACRAAGCTGAATTCTGGCTGTGATTATCTCAGGGCACTGCATCCTCCTCTTCTTCCCCCACCCTCTCCCACGACCTTGGTAGCATTCTGCATTGGTAGATTGAGGGGCTAGGATTTGGCTCAGGCTGGCAATTCTTTAGTGTCGTTTTTGGTTGTGTTTTGTTGGTTTGATTACATACGGTATCGTGTGTCTTTTTGGTCTTCTACCACAATGCTGGATGGGAGCATGAGATGGTTGACCACGAGATCTTCACGAGGCTCAGAAGGTGCTTGCTGTGTGTGTAATTTTCATGGTCWGTTGTTTGTGAGCACATGGAGAAAGCACGGGGGCCGCTTTTTTCGAAGTTTTAAGACTCCTTGTGTCACGCAGAGGTCTTGTGGTGAATGGCCCGGCTCATGGAGTGCTT